GCTTCCCCTGAGACTGGCCTTTCGGAAGGCCAGTCTTTTGTCAGTTCTGCAGGGTCCGGGGTCCCGGGTGGATAGTGGGTGGGTGGAGACCCGCCCCTTACCCCCCATGCAGGCAGCACCCACGGCGGGACAGTGTACTTGGCGTGGCGCGCTGCGCAAGGCTGCAGAAGGTTGCCGCTCGCCAAGGGCGTTCTCTTTAATTCAACAGCCACTGAAGTGAAAGCGAGCTGGAGAGAGTCAGGGGGCAGGGGTCGGGGCCCACCTAAGCCTCCGCCCCCTACCGATCTCCCGCCCCCTCTAGCCCTAGCCCCTCGGCACCCACCTTCTTTCTCGGAGCCCGCGGCGTGCAGCCTCGCAGACCTGCACGTGGAGGGTGGCGCCCCTAGAGGCCAGGACGGAGGTTTTGTCTTTTATTAGATAGGATACCACATTTTGTTTATTCATTCATTGGTTTGTATGCATATTTTAAACTCTTTAGGTATATATCTAGAAGTAGAATTTCTAGGTCATAGGGTACTTCTATATTTAGTAACAGCCAACTGTTTTCCACAGCAGCTGCACTGCTTTGCATGGGACACGCGCTCGCTCCCTGCTCCGATCTTGCGACCTGAGACCGCCTTCGGTTTTCTCGGTTCCCCAGGCGCCCTCCGGACGAGCACGGGTTATTAAAGCCCGGCGCCTTTTCCCCTGCCCTCCAGGTACAGCCATGGCTCACACTAGGGAACGCCCCGGCCCGGAGACTCCCAGCTCCGGGCTAGAAACTCCCCCCTGACAGAGCCTGGAGGCGCCGGTGGGAGAGACGAAAGCGGTCCGTCTCTGAGTAAGAGGGTGATGTAACCCCCCGAGGAGGGTGAGGCGCCCCAACTACGCACCATGGAAGACCCCGGGCACCCTAAGGGCACGCCCTACGCGGAAGTCTCGGGTGGCTCACCCCAGATTCACACCCAGCCGGGCTGGCCACCTTCCTGTCGGATTCACTTCCCAAGGAGCGGGCGAAGGGTGGGTGACCTCGGGGAATTTACACCTCTCCACGCCTTCTGCGTTCATATTACACACGTTTGTAGAGTGTTTATTTTGTGCCAGGCCTTGAGCTGAGCTCACAGGATACACTGTTTACAAAGCAGGCATGGAAATTACAGTTAACTTATCTGTAAAATGGGCGGAGGGATGGACGATGCGCCTCCATTCCATGGAGAATTTCATGCAGCGTAACACAGGCTTTAGCGATTCGCATCAAGTACATACAGCCTGCGACAACGTAAACATGAATTTAAAATGTGGTGGAATTTAGAATTGGAATCCTTATTTTTTTAAAATATATTTTATTGACTTTTTACAGAGAGGAAGGGAGAGAAATAGAGAGTTAGAAATATCGATGAGAGAGAAACATGGACCAGCTGCCTCCTGCACATCTCCCACTGGGGATGTGCCCGCAATCCAGGTACATGCCCTTGACCGGAATCGAACCCGGGACCTTTCAGTCCACAGGCCGACGCTCTATCCACTGAGCCAAACCGGTTTCGGCTGGAATCCTTATTTTTGCTTGTACATTATCATATTTAGTCGTTGTAGTTTTGAAAGTATTTTACAAGGTCATTTTAACACTTGTCAGCACATAATGAAAATCTTAAAACTGAATTTCCTAATTTGGTGGAGTTTCTCAACTCTGGGAATAGGGTCAATTGTCATCTGGTCCCACAACTGTCATCTGGTCCCAGTCGCTACATGCTCAACACCGACTTAACAAATACGCTCTTATCTTGAGCATAAACAGTGTAAAGGGTTACTTTCTGGAGACTGCTCATGGCTGAATGGGACACGAACTGTCTTCAAGATCTTATGTGTGGTCTTGAAGTAGTAATGGCTTTATTTACATCAAATTGGTTTCTCATTTTAGTTAAAAATATCTGGGTTGTGCTAAAGAATTTAACTGGTTTTAAGTTTTTGCTTGGCCGAGGTTTTTAAAAAGCTTTTAATTGAAATAGTATATATATATATTTATTATATATTATACATTTATTATGTATAATTATATATATGAAAGAGCACATATTATGAATATACAGCTGATGCATTTTCATATAATGAACAGATTTGTGTATTGTTTTTAAAGTGTTTAATTGAAATATATGTATTCATTATATATTATACTAGAGGCCCAGTGCATGAAATTTGTGCACAGGAGGGAGAGTCCCTCAGCCCGGCCTGCACCCTCTTTCAATCTGGGACCCCTCAGGGGATGTCCAGCAGTCAGACATCCCTCTTGCAATCTGGGACTGCTGGCTTCTAACTGCTCGCCTGCCTGCATGATCTCCTCTAACCACTCACCGGCCTGCCTGATCACCCCTAATCACTCTGATGCCTGCTTCATCGCCCCCAACCACTTGCCTGCCTGCCTGTCTCATCGCCCCTAACTGCTGGCCTGCCTGCCTCATTGCCCCTAACCGCCTCTACCTCAGCCCCCGCCACCACGGTTCTGTCCAGAAGGTTGTCTGGAATGATATCCGAAAGGTCGTTTGGCTGTCCAATCTAATTAGCATAATTTGCTTTTATTATTATAGATATTTATTTATGAAAGAGCACAAATCATGAATATACAGCTGATGAATTTTCACAAACTGTGTATTGAGTGTCCAGATCAAGACACAGGACATTACCAGTCCCCAGAAGTCTCCTAGTTCCTCATCAGTTACTGCCATCCCCCACCAAGAGTAGCCATCATCTTCACTTCTAACTCCCTAGAAGGGTTTTGCCAGTCTTCGTGCCATATATAAATGCAGTCGGATGATGTGTACTATTTTGTGTCTGGTTTCTTTTGTTCAACGTTATGTTTTTGAGTTTCATCCATATTGTGTGTTCTTGGATTTTTTTTTAAAAAAACTTACTACCTGTGAAACAGGTACAACCCATCCATTTCCTAAGGTCCCAGGTTAGAAGTGGATTAAGAAGTGTATTCTGGACTTCAAAATTTCATATGTACATAAACAAGCCATCCTCATCTTTTCTTCCTCTTAAAAAACAAGTACAACCAACACTTTGAGTCAGTTATTTAATTACTATACACATGTAAATCAAACAATGAATTAGCTTCTTTATTCATTCAGCCATTATGTTCCTGTGAAATAGACACCATAATATGCACTGAAAATATTCAGATGAACTAGCACAGAGTTTATCTTCAGGTCATAACTCTGATGCTACGGAATTCAGAGGAAGGCCATCTTTCTGCAGGTGTGCGGAGTGGTGAGGAGTATGACAAAAGACTTCAAAAAGGAGGTGATTAAAAAAAAAATAAACCTTTATTTATTTATTTAGAAGAGGGGAGAGAGATAGAGAAATAGAAACATCGATGGAAGAGGAACATGATTGATTGGCTGCCTCCTGCACACACCCCTACTGGGGATTGAGCCCACAACCTGGGTATGTGCCCTGACCCAAATCAAACCGGTGACCTCTTGGTTCCTGGGTCGATGCTCAACTGCTGAGCCACACCAGCAGGGCAAGGAGGTGATTTTTGAGATGGAATTTGAAGTGTTGGCGTAGAGCTTGATAGTTGCCTGTAACAACCTGTAGAAAACTGTTAGGTATTTTTTAGTTAGCAGATAGTTTTTGCGTCTCAGTTAGCAGAGGTGGAGGATAAAGAGGAGCTATATCTCTTGACCTCAAAGTTTTACATGTGCAAATATTAAAACAATAACTATTATCAGATACCCATATCCTGAAAAACTGACTTGATGGTATCCTCAGAAGATAAGTTAGTCATGTTTGCATTATCATATGGGATGTGAGTAGACTGGGCTGGACAAGAGATACGGCCATGTTCTTCATTCACTGGGCAGACAGGGGAAATAGACAAGTAGAGGGACTCAAAGTCCCAGTTACTTTAACTTGTTAAACACAAGCGACTTCCTTCCTATAACACCTTCCACTTCCACTGGACGCAGCCTCAGAATTTAAAAAATTCTACGTTAGAGAGAATTGAAAAGCTTCTGGGAGGAGAAAAGGGGAGGAGTTTTTTTTTTTAATTGATGTTTTTATTTGACAAAGCAGCATTATCCGTTGAAAGTTTTTAAATTGAGTATTTAGCTTATAAACATACTGAAAGTCTGGCAACTAAGAAATGGCAACGCTTGTGTTTATGGAGAACATGTTGCGTTCAGTGCAAAGAAGCAGAATGTGCCTATTATAGCTACACCCTCCTTTCCAGCTGGGTGGGTAACAAGCACTTTCTATGCCCAGGCAAGTTCTATAATTTTCTGCTTGCGAGGGTGGAGAGGGTGTGTCCTATGCCTCTATCCGCACTAGATGAAGACGGGTGAGGAAGAGCAAAGAAAAGTAAGAAGGCCGTGTTGGAGGACATGGTGCTGGAGTCACCGTTGAGAATGAGTGGAGCAAGAAAAATGGTCCCTCTCTTCCCCCTTTCTCTCTCCTTCCTTTGCACCCATCTCCATCAAAGGGCACAAAGGGTTACACCTGATATAGGATATATACACTGACAAGTCTCCCACCTCTCTTGATTATAAAGTTTCCTTTCTTGGAGGAAGCTGTCACCAGTTTCCTCCGGAACCTCCCAGAGGTAGTTTATGCATATAGGTTAGTTATGCAGGTGATAGTATTTTATAGATACTGTTTTGCCTTTTGCTTTTCTCACTTTAAAATATCTTGGCAACTGTAGTGGATGTCAGTCATATTTGTGGCTTCCTACTATCCTTGGAAAGTCCCAGTCTGAAATCAGAACTCCAATTCCCAAGATTTCTTATTGCCAGGACACTGGCCTACCTCCTAGACTTTGTCGCTCAGATACACTCAGGCACAGCTTTAATTTGGAAGTGAACAAAATGTGGAGAGAGGATGTATTTGAAGTTTCTATCCAATAATCACAGGCAAGAATCACTAATGAATTTTAAAATTAGTGAGTAAAAATATGATGAGAAAAAGCATATTTGTAGCCTCAAAATATCTCCCTGCAAAGTATTTGTCAATTACACAGGGAAAGATAGTAACATGAGAGTGGAGAAAAATGCAGATATCACCTTAGTCAAGTGATCAAAATGAACATACATCATCTGGAATAATGCATATTGACTTCACACACCTCCTGATATGATTCACTGAGAAGGGCAATAGCATCACTTCCATGTTGTTCCTGCCCAAATTACATAAACCTCAATTTAATCGTAAGAAAGTATCAGACAAACCTATATTGGAGAACATCCTATATAATAAAAGCCTAATATGCTAAGTGTCTGACTTATTGTTTGTTCAACCAGTCGCTATGATGCACACTGACCACCAGGGGTCAGACACTCTGACTGGTAGGTTAGCTTGCTGCTGGGGTTTGGCCTATCGGGACTGGGCGAGATGAGCCCAACATGCCCTGGAGCCCTACTGTGGT